GATGATCCAATTATTGCTTGTGAAACATTACGTCTCCAGAATGATTCACTTCGTCAAGAATTACATGATATACGACGGGTAAGTTAATAGATATATTAGAAATAATATTTACAGTCTAGACTACATGAAGAATAAACATTTTAAGATATGTTTCCAATATCGTTTTAATGGTGCATCTCAATTCAATTTGAAAGATAAGAACTAAATTTATAAATGTAAAAAAATCTTTTTCTTTTTAAAATTATTCATTTGTTTCTAATATCAAGCGCTAAAGAGCACGTATACATCTCATAAACAATCGATGAAGCATAATTATGTACAGAAAATCATAAACAGAACTATTTCTACTTGAAATTTGAAAATTAATTAAGATTTTCTTTCCTGTAATAAATATATTTGTTTCAAAAAACAACTTTATGGATTAAAATCTATCTTTAAACTTATCTCACTACAAATAAATCTCGACGGAATCAATCTTGTTTTCATTAGAAACTGATCGTTCAACATACTATATTTATACATTTCGTTTGTTTAATTTGAAAATGCGTGTTTTTATGGCTTCATTTAATAGAAAAATAGCGGTGAATTACCGTTCTATTTCAACTATTAACATCACATTTTGTTTCAGAAGCAAGTTGTAGATAAGAGGTATACATGATAAAAATAGTTTTATATGTCTACTTTATTTATGATTATGTCTTGAATGTTTGAACAATACAGTATGATCTGTTATATGATGAAAAATCAATTATCCTTGAACTGGTGTTAGTTAGTTTAACTAGGCCTATGAAAGGATTGAAAAGATTAATCATTTATCTCTTTAGTTGAGCATATAGTTGTATATTTATTTATCTACTAAAGACTATGACATCATCTACTAATATGTATGTCGATGATTAAGTAACAAGATGACTGTGAAATATGTACACATATATAAAAAAGAAAAGAAACGTTAATTTGAGTCGTTTTATTATATTTGTTAGAGTCAAATGTTCTACGTGGTAAATAATTTGGAGGTTAATACAATAAAAAGCCATTTATGATTGCTGCTGATTTAGTTAAGGTCACTGATACAAGATTGACAGAAATCGTAGTATAAACTAGAATTGGTTAGAAACGATTAGTCAAAAAGAAATAGTGTGAAAACCATAATTGTTATGTCACACACATGCAAACTAATAGTTGAAGAAAAAAAGGATAGCTTATAAGTGACGGCACTTCAAGTACATGATTTATATTATAATTGCTCCATAAATGATATTCATTTAGAATATAATTTGTTTTCGAAGGACATATATTTTTTCAGCAACATCAGTTTCAAAGTTAATATAATTCTTTAGAGATTTCTAAGATCTATACATATAAATAATCGAATCATAGTTCAATTCTTTTCTTTTTAAAAATTCTAATTCTTAAATAATAATTCTTTTTCTAACCATTTGAAATCTTTTTGACATTTGATGAAGTTATAGAGTTTAAGTTTAGACTCTCCACTTCTTGAAACATACGATATTCTATAATAGAGTTTAGCAAAAAAATATGAAATTTATTTCGTGCTCATATCAGCTGCAAGACAGAGTTGTAATCGAGTGAGTATTTTCCGGCAGATCCGGTCCGGTCGGTTTAGTTTTTTTTGACCGGTTCGGTTGAACCAGTTAAAAAAGCTTTTAAACCGGCTGGTTAACGATCTTTTTCTACTTAAATAACAAATAATGTTTGATAATTTCTCTCGTGAAGTTGAAATTCGATCTGGTCGGACCGGTTCCAGCTCTGTTGTAAGATGCAGTTTGATTCTTATTATCTTCATGACAGTGGATCTTTAATCTAATGTAATAAAAAAACCAAGATAATTTGACTGATCATATGGTTCCTGCTGTTATTAGAGAAAAAACATCGACTCTTATTTATGCAAAATTATAATTTTCAGCAAAATGATCGAATCTCGTCTAGTACATTATTGTACTAAAAGTATATTTTATCATGTTTTAACACGTGACAATGTCCGCTGGATATATGTAAAGTAATTTCCTGATATAACGTTTTCTTGTTTCTTTCCTTATCCATACTAGTTGTTTTTTTGGTTCTGCACTACAAATAACTAAATCAAAGAGAAGAATAGAGAAGAAAGAAACGTGTAGATTTTACAATCAACGTTTAACAGCTGTAGTAAATTGAAAGAAAAAGAAAGGGGGCACTCGGGTTTGAACCAAGGACCTCTCGATCTGCAGTCGAATGCTCTACCACTGAGCTATACCCCCATGGTACATTAGCTGTTAACAATTTTAGTTAACTTAGACAAATTGTAAAATATGCATTTTTTGACGATTCAAAATGATACTAAGTTAATTGAAAAATCATTTTATCTATCTCTACCAATATATGGCACTTCACATATCACCGGATCGAAAAATTTTAAAAGTTTGTTCGGTCAAAATTGATTGAAGATTCGTCTTCTCCATGGTCAATTATCTGGTACGCGATAACTTTTGGATCAGGGTACTTAGAAAAAATAATTCAACATCCTTTTACCGTTGGTTCCATACAGTACCTTTTGAATTGAAAAATTTTTGAACAAGATCATGAGAAAATTTTATCTAGAGTATCCCGAACAAAAAGTTATGGCGTACCAGATAATCGACCATGGAGAAGACGAATCTCCAATCGGTTTTGGCCGAACAGGCTTTTAAAAGTGATATATTTCACAACGAAGTAGTAGAGATTTCTTTGGATGTATATTTCACCTTTGATGATTTGATTTTTTGTATATTTTTCATGCTTTATTCCAGATAAAACATCAGATCTGTAGTGGAAAACAACGTATTCAGTTGTCACAACTCGTAGAAAGAGAACTGTGAATTTTCTAATAAAGTAGGTTATTATTAAGATATCTGTAGTAGGGAGAGTTGAGCTCAGAAAATTTTTGAATACAGTTTATGTGATAAAAAAATAGACAGATCTGTTTCTTATAAGAAAGATTATGAGGTTATGATTTAGAGATGCATGCCGTCTACCAGATCAACTAAAAATTACTAACTCATGATGCATCGCCTGTTAACTGCATAACGAAAAAATTGACTTTTAATCGACTAAAAACTGTTAAAAACCATCATGTTAACAGTCGCCGTTTTCTGTCGTTTATTTCACCGCGAATCCACGACCTCAAAACAGTTGTTTAGCTGTAGGTGATAGTACCATGGTCCTAAGGAACCAAAAATATTGAACGTTGTGAATTCAGATTTTTGTTAGATTACTAGGTAGCAAAAAAACTAACTTCGAAAAATATTCAAACAATAGGTTGTTAACAGTCCATAATGATGCAATGATGGCCTTAATACATAATATAACTACCACTTTTAGTCATTAAAACGTTTTCAGTTTAAATGCATAAAAACAGTCAACAAATTGTCACAACGGTCTAAACGTGATCATTTAACAAACATTGAATGGATTATTAATAAGTATTTAATAGACAATTAATTAAACTGTTTTCGACATTCTGGGAGCTAATCGATAATTGATCCCCGTTTGCGTTGTTTCCATATTTTATTTCACTTTTTCTTAGCTTTTCTCTACAGAAAAGGTTCCCTAAACAAACTGTCTTGCATATTTTAAAAACTTACTAATTAATTATCATTGTAGTTAAATACACCTGAGAGGCAGTATAAATTAGAATTGACAAAATATTCGTTCTTTGCTTCTATGTCGCATGTGAGTACTATATTTTTACATTTTGATACCGAAAATGAAGTTTCCCTTAATTAACGGATTTAAGACAATAGTAACTAACAAAAACCTTTCAACTTCTAGCCAAAAATTAACAAGAACACTAATTCTTGTGTTAACTATAGTTTTATTTTTAGCAAGGTTTTCCCTCCTTCTGTCATTTAGCACGCACGTTTAAAGAGAAGATTTATGTTTCTATCCTTGTTTAACAGTTAATTAGATTTAGAACACATATCAATTAACAACGAGTTTAATGATATTGATATAACATAAAAAAAGAGCACATCAATAATAAGAAAAAGAAATTATATGTTGTATAACAGCTGTTTAGCCTCTAGGATGTATAACTGAGATTTTTAACGAGTGACATTTTCCAAGAGGATAACTAACGACTTGACCATTCCTATGATTGCATAGTAATGAGAAAAAAGCGTGAAAATGTGTAACTTGATCCAGCGAATGCCGATGTAAAGGTCCATCGTGCAGCTAATTGATTAATTTATCTATACTTCTTTCATCGATGATATTGAAATGAAATGATGTATTCGTGAATCTTGTTTTTAAATCTTGACGGAAAGCATATGATCTCAAAAATGAATAGGTTATATTATAAATTGCAAAATTTGTCTAGCTACTATGTATCCTATTATTCATATTAGACGAAGACTACATTTAGAACATCATTGAACTTGCCATAGCCATCACGTATAATCATAGATTCATACACTTATATATTTTCAAAAAGAAAAAAAAATTCGAATCAAACATACCAACAAAAGTGTAAAAAAACGAGTAATTCAAGGATTTACAAGATCTTAGTACAAGAAGTCAACAAATTTCACGATACTTCACTACGGTAGTTCAGTAGATCTATCACAGTGCTCAGTTACAAATTGAACGTTACTCATCTAATCTTTTAAACAGGCAATAACTGAACCACAGTTTCAGATCAATCTAGTCGATTTTTGAAGAACAACTGAGACATAAACATCATAATTATCAAGTCACTACTGAACAGAGATTTCTGAAGAAAATATTTTCAGTTCTTACACTGTCAATCGATGATTATTTATCTCTTTACCTACCAAGGGATCACGATCACCCATGACCGATTCATAGAATTGTTAGAAAAAGATAATGAAGCATATGACAAAAAATGGATTGCTTTTGATAGCAAGATAAATCCATACGTTATCGATTGATAAAAGAAGATTTTGTTTTCCATCACTTTTGGTATTTCATTACTTACCTTTTTATAACAATTCTACGAATGGATCATGAGTGCTCCCTTGGTAGGTAAAAGGTTATTCTGAGAAAATCTTTAGATGTTATCAGTATCTGCTCAGAGTAATTTCTAGTATTAACTAACATAATTTGTTTTAGGAAATGGATGAAGTTATGGATCAATTTCGTACGGAAGATGCGGAAGAATTTAAACAATTACAAGCAGAATTGGAAATGGCCGGTCAGTCGTATAACTATAATTCAATATTTTGTGAAAATGTAGGCCTTATAACGATCATTCTTATTTTAGCCAAAAATTGTCGAATATTACAATTTAAACTACGAAAGTCTGAGAAAAAAAATGAAAATATGGAACTCGAAAAAGGAACATTAGAAGGTAAGAAATTAAATTTAAATTAAAATTAAAAGTGTACAGAGATGTTAATTTATAATATAAATTTTTTAGACAAATTGTTACAGTTAACACGTGATACTTGTCGTGTAAAAGATTTAGAAGAAGAATTATTAGTGGCAAAAGAAGTGAGTGTTCGTTTACATGCTGAATTAGAAAAGTCCGAAGAGGCACGAACAACAACAGAAAAATTAAATATGGCATTAAAACAACATTTAGATTCACTAAAAGAATGTCTAGATGAAAAAGTATTGGTAAGAATAATTTACAATAGTAAAGAGATAGACATCTAGTAGTCGATTCTTCATATTTAAGGAAACATCTGGTAGTTCAAATGATGATTATAACTCTTGGCAATTAGCTGTTAATTTGTATGAATCATTATTTCGAGAATATGTCCTTATGGAAGAAGTAAAGTAAGGTCACAACTAAAAATGATTAATGAACTTGTTCATTCATTGTGTCGATAGTCTATCGACAGGAAGATCACTTTTCTTTTTCCTCATTAATTATCTTACACCATATACACACACTATTTCGATAAGAAAAAACAAGATAGGAGAAAGTTTAATAACTTTGATGAATGATATATTGTTCATGTATTAACCATATCACCTTGGCTAATCGTTAGTGATATAAACTATAAAGATATACTGTAATAGATTTTACATAACTTGTCAATTAGATATTCGTACATGTTGACAAAAATATAAAAGATTACTATAATTTCTTTTCTTTCTTTTAGTTGGCTGAGTAATTCTGGACGCCAAACATCTGATACTAGTCAACAATTATCGGAAATATCAGATCTTCTTAATTCTTACCAACAAAAAATTTCTTTACTTCATCAAGAAATTACATTTCTTAAACAAGAACTCTCAGATCGTGATAAAGATTTGTCAGTATTGAGAGTACAATATAAAATTTTAAAACGTAGTCGATCAGCTGAAAGTCATTCAGTAGAATCTTTAAATCAAAATTCTAATAATGGTAGAGGAAAACAGCGAGGTATGAATGGTATCAATGGTGAAAATGGTGATGATCATCGTTCACGACGAGGTGTCAGTGTTGATAGTGCATCTAATATACAAAAACAGTTAGAATCAGCAGAGGATGAAATAAGATTACTAAAAAATAAAATGTTAAGATTAGAAGATGAATTGAATAATTCATTGCTTGTAAGTGTCACTGATTGCATCCAATTCAACAATAAATAAAAAGTAAATTTTTAGGAAAAAGAAAGTTTATTGTTGAAAGTTGAAGAATCAGCTAAAAGTAGTAAAGAAGATATCACTGAAGATATTCAAATGTTTATAACGAAAATTGGTAAATGAAGAATTCTTTATCATCACAAGAAAAACACACAAATTTATTTTATTCTTCTTGCTGTTTTAGAATCACTAGGCACACTATTAAAAGTGAATCAAACCGATGAGAAAATAATAGTTGATTTACAACAGTTATTAAGAACAACAAGATGGAATAAACAAAATCCGGTATGAATAAAATAAAATTTGAATTTGAAAATGAGTTCTGTGTTTTTTACAGGATGATACATCAAATTCACTATCAAATGCCATTAAAATGAGTCAACATTCAACTGAAATTTTACAACAAGCAACTGAGTTCCTTTCCACTTTACAATCAAAACAAGATACATTAGAAAAAATTCGTTATCGTTTATCAAATATTCACTATGATGCAAACGATACATGTCAGTTAATCGAAGAATTAGAACAAACAAAACAAGAATTTGATACAAAACAACAACTTTGTCAAGAATTGCAAATTACAATTGAACAGTTACAAACTAATATTGAAAACATGACCAAACAACTGGATATTAATACAACAGAGTATGAGGAAAAATTAAACCTTAAACAGCAAGAGACGAATGAACAAAAAACGAAAACGAGTACGAAGTTTTTTATATTAAAGCGAAGGACATAACAAAAACAGTTAGAACAAATTGGCAAGGATTTGAATAGCTGAAAGAGTTTGCTATTAGGAGAGATGTGTGCGAAATTTCATTGATATTGGTGGAAATAGCATCTGTATGAAATCAAGATCATCAGATCTAGGTTCCTGGATTCGATGAAGAACTTTTTGTAAACACCCCAGTCTCGCAGAGCATTTTGATTCATATTCTAAGCAAAGTGAGACGTATCAAAGCTCTCTACGGCCTTTCCTCATCAAAATGCATTCAATTACGAAAGACCACGAAGCAAAACTATCGAATTTCAAGAAAAACAGCGGAAAAATATCTTTGAACCTTTCATAAATTGAATACATTTTGATGAATAAAGGCCATAGAGAGCTCGAATACGTCTCATTTTGTTCAGAATATGAATCAAAGTGTTCTGCAGGACTGAAGGTTTCTCCATCGAATCCAGAGACCTAGATTTGACGATCTGGATTTCGTAAAGGTCCTATTTCTACCCATGTCAATGAAATTTCGCACACATCTCTCCTGATAACAAACTCTTTCAGTTACTCAAATTTTTTGCCGATTTGTTCTATAACTGTTTTTGTTGAGGAAAAAGATCGAAAATGCAAATGACTTAAACGTATATTTCTCACTTTATTTAAAGTCTCTAATCTTCTCTATTCTAGCTGAAGTTATTCAAGAAAAAACTATTGAAATTAATGAATTAATGCAAGATCGTGAGCGTCTACAAACAATAAATGTCAAACTCAGTCATGATGCATCCGACATGAAGAAACAGCTTGATCAAATGAAACAATCAATATTAACATTCGAAAAGAAACTCGATATCAAACAACAACGTGTAAATGAATTGTCGATTAAAATCATTGAGAAAGAAGATATTATTGAAACAAAGGTAAAAGAATGTCAAAAACATCGATTAGAATTGAGAGAATTGGAATCAAAATATTACAATTTGGGAAAAGAATTGGAAATACAAATAACAACAATGACAAAAGAAATAGAAAAATTAAATATTGAAAAAGAAATGTTAAAATTTGATTTGGAGTCAGTTAGAATTAGTACAGCACACAATCACCAACAAACTCAACATTTAATACACTTAAAAGAGGTAAGATAAACAGAGAAAGCTCTCTAATGAAGTAAAGCAAAATATGCAGCTTTTGCCCAGAAGAGATAGAGGAATGCATATTATTTTCCCCGTTGAAAATAAAAACTAAATGTTTTAGTGGAGAATATGCAATTGTGATGTTCTATCCAGTTAGTGAGAGCAGAGTGCTCCAATGTCTACAGCCATTCTAGAACATTCATCCAGAGAAGTTCTAAACGCGCCAAACTTCACTATAGTACGCTTGCAAATTACGGTGACTTATCCAATTATTAGCCGAGTTTGTGCTATTTTTAGCTTTTTAAAGACACGAACTCACAGGGTGGAAGTTTTGGATTTTAACAAACACCGAATAGAGTTTCATTTTCTGTTTTTCTCCGTTTATGACCTGTTGTATCTACTGAGAAACCCATTGCCAAATTTTCTACGAGAGTAGTCTCAACAAAACGCGAAATTTTTACTTTCTTTAGAAAAACGACGGAAAAAACGCGTTTTTTTTGTAGAAAAAACATGATTTTATTAAAGACGAATAGAAACGAAGAAACATACTGGCATTTCCTTCCGTTTTCTTGACTATTCGAGAAGAAAATCCATTTAAACGCTTCTGAACACAAATGCGGTGGTCTTCGTTTTATTTTTGGTTGTATTTGAATTTTGAACGTTATCTGAGGTTCATCCGATGAATATTCTTTGTCAAAAAATGATTTAAAAAAACGCGTTTTTCACCGTTTTTATAAAAAAATAAAAATTTGGCGTTTTTTTGAGACTGCTCTCGTAGGAAATTTGGCAATGGGATATTCACTATTCTACACTATAGTGGGCGGGGCTCTTTTTAGTGAATATCTCAGTAGATACAACAGGTCATAAACGGAGAAAAACAGAAAATGAAACTCTGTTCGCTCCTGGTTAGAATTCGAAACTTGCATCCTGTGAGTCCTTAAAAAGTGCACGAAATAAGCGATTTTTTTTGTCACAAAACATATCACTATCTTTTTCACACTTTTATTTCATTGTTTGATGTAGGATAAACACTCATCCGAAAATGATGAAATTTTACGCGTCAAAGAAGAATGTCGACAAGCATTATTTGATACGGAAATCGAATCTTATAAAACTCGTATAAATCAATTAACGAAAGAAAAAGATGAATTAGATTTAACAATTCATGATATGGAACGAAAATTCAAAGAATTACAGCAAAAATACGACGCTAATGAACAATCATGGAATCGATCGAAAACGGATATGTTTGATAAACAACGAAAGGTCAGTAGTTTCTTCTCTTTTTTTCATAACTCGACATATTTAACTATTAAGAACGCTTGTTTTATGTTAGCATGAAGAAAGTATTAAAATGCGTAATGAGTTACAGAACGCTGTTGATCGTTTACGTCAGAAATTATATGATATTGAAAATCATTCTCAAGATAAACAAAATCGATACACAATAGACAAAAATAATTGGGAGTTACAAAAATTAGAATATCAGAGTAAAATTAATGAGGTAAGTAGTACTGATTCGAAGAATTTTTGGATACTTTTCTTTAATTTTGAATTTTTAAAATTTCACGATATTCCTAATTATTTGAGTAGTGTCAACGAATTGTCGATGAAATTTGTCTATCCTTCTTCTTTAGCTTGAAGAACAGTTAAGTAAAGTGACAAAACGTCAACGAAAAGATTTGGAAACAGCCTGGAAAAAAGAACGAACAGATTTACATAAATCGTTACAACAAACACAACAACTGTGCAAAGATTTACAAAAACAAATTAGTAATAAGTAAGAGAAACAAGCTTTTGAGAAATTTTACATCGGTTATATTTGACCATATAAATTATTTTTTAGAGAAGCTCCAATCCATTTAACAGAAAAAATTAATGTTTTAATGACAGAAAATGAATTATTAACGAACAAGATAAAAGAGGTAAAGTTGTATTTTTTAGTTTTAGTAAGTTGTTATTGATTTTTGACATGTTTCAGCTTGAAGTTGTCGTAGTTGATGTGGAATTCGTGAAAACTGAAGTTGAACGTTTGCGTGATAAAAATTCATCAGATTGGCACTATTGGAGGAAACAACAAAATGATCTGTATGAACAATTGAGACTACATGAACGAACAAAAAATGAAATTTTAAGCAAATTTGATAAACTATATAAACAAGTAAGTAGACTAAATGTGAATGCTGACTAACTTAACATATTTTTTATTCTAGACGAAATATTCTGAGAACAATGAAGGCGATAACTCTGATCGTTTAATTCGTGAACAAAGTTTACCATTATCACTGAATAGTTTTCAACCGTCTAAAAGTTCGTTGGGTGAAGGTGGTGATCATGCAAAAGCTTCATCAATATCAAATTCAAATTATAGTCGTGAAACGTTGGCAGATGGGGATAATTCTAGTCATATCTTAGATTATGTGGCACATTTTACGCAGTCTCCAAATGAACGGGATAGTTATCGAGACATTGTTGGTCATATTGATGATGAAGTACATAGTAGCACAAAACAAAAATTATTTTCAAAAGCTTATCAAGCACAAGAAAATATTTGCAATAGTTTAGAAGAAGTAAGTCTGTAGAAGTGATCTAGAATACTAGTGATTAAATTGTAAGCTTTTTTATTCATTTAGATTGCAAGTAAAATTGATAAAGTGGAAGAAAATCTGTTTTCATATCGAAGATTTATGGATTTTATACAAATTCGAGCGTATGTAATTCCATCAAATTACGTTCGTCTTTTTATATCACTTTTGTTTACTTAAAGTAGTACACGCAAAAAGAAGGCAGAATACTCCCACCTTGCGGCTAACGGTATCGAGTGCTGACAAGTGTCAGTTTCAATAGTGTGAAATCTTCTCTGTAGCTGATAAGCTTCTGACATAGTCATCCATATTGTTCCTACTCATCGACTGCAGTTCTAGCCAGAACTGACACGAAGTTCCTTCTCTCCGTACTACTTGAGCTCTCTATATACACTCACTATCCACGTAACAGTTTCCCGAAAAGCCACAAAGACTAATCGGAAGAATTATATTGTACTTTATGCAACGCATTAAGTATGCTGTCGCACGGTGATCCGAGTAATTAAAACATAAATAGCGTGTCCAAGGATATTGCACGACATGATGATGCTGATGTTCAAACACAGTATTTTTGAAGTACGCGACGAACAACATATCCATCAAACCATGCTATTAAAGTATTAGAGATATTCAGAATGAAGTATTTGCTGCGCTTAAGTCGACGCTAATTATACACCTGCTACAAATTCTTGTGTAGAAGATAAATGAATTATAAGGGACAGCGAGACATCGATCGCTATAGCTTTATTTTTGTATATGTATCTTTAGGAATTTATATACAACTTTTCTCTATGACTAGCTTTGATACTTATATAAAGAAAGAAATAATAGAGTTTCTTTTACTTATATTCGCTCAGTTAGTCAATATAAGACCTAGATTGACTGAACAGTCACTTGAATGAAATGTGTTTTATAAACTCAGGAGAATGAATGTTTTTTTGTTCGTTAATGCGAAACTAATGCCTGTATTGAGTTTTCTAATTTAATTTTGCTGCTTGTGCGAGTTTCAATTTTGTTATTCCAGTAAAAAGAAACGTATCACAACGTTGTTCTTATAATGAGTGAGCGATTACTTTCTTGTTTTGTTTTCACATGACAATTATCGTGATAGACAAGTTTCTAAAACATATACATTTATCCTACAAAACAAAAAAAGAAAAAATAATCGTTACTATTGTCGTGTGTTGTTTTTATACATCCTCCTGGAAATGTTTGCGTAAGTGACAATGATAATGGCATTTGTCAGTCTCTCGAATCTTGTCAGTTCTTTTTTCGTGATTTGATTAGGAACGATACATCTTGTATTTTGCTTTTTTCCTTCACAAAAACAAAGCAAGATGAAGAACCCCAACAGACACTTGTATAGAACTCACAAGGAGAGATAATCCTACGAATGATGAAAAAAAATATGTCTGCCACATTTTGTATGACTACATTCACTGATAATTATTTGAATGCCATTGTACATTAAAGGTGAGATAAAAAAAAAGACAGTCATCTTGCCAGTGCCATTAGTGTCAAGATACAAAAATTAGTTACGATTTATATTTTACTACAAATTTCGATCTAATGGGAAAAATAAAGAGCTGTAGAACTGCACAGGGTGATTCAAAAGAGAAATAAGAACCTAAATTTCTGGCCGTTTTTGTCGGTTAAAAACACTTAGTTGAATGAAGAAGACTAAAAACCGTAGCATTATTTTTGCTAAAATGCATTAATATCTAGCCGAATTATTTTATGTTTTCTCTTTTTTTTACAGTTTTTCCAAGCTATGAAAAAAATCATCGAATCTAGAAATGTGAATATATAATATAAGTTGGAAACATGTCTATTCTTGGAAAAAATTAGGCTTAATTTTATATCAGAAATAGAATCGATTAGTGTATTCTGCAATAGAGAACATTGAAAATCTTTTGACATAGAATTCAAATAATTGAATTTTTCTTATTCTTTATTCTGTTAAATACTATTTTTTCTTTAGTAAATCCGAAAAAAGTTCAAGTGTCGTACGAGACGATAGTTTTAATGATTTATCCGGTAATTATCACAACACCAATAATAACAAACAACGTTTAGCATCTGCACCACCCGAAAACAACACCAACAATGGAGTAGGACGTCGTTCACGTTTCGATCGATCAGGCGATCACCATCAACAACAAGATTCTCTATCGTCAAATGAAATGACAAATTCCACTATTGTCAATGGTTCTTCAGCTGCGCCTGGAAAAAATCGTTTCTTTTCCCTAAGTCGACGTTTTCGTTTTCGTATCGGATCACCAGATCCTTCATCCGTTAAATCCACTTGTTCTCATGGAAACAATGTTCATTTTCTCGATGAAGACATCGACATGGAAGATCCTCAACATCCAATTACGAAAAAAGATAAAGAAGCACGACCTTCAAAGGGTATTTTAAAAACATTACGACATCGTTCACCATTTCGCTTTCGATCAAAAGATGCAATTATCACGGAACAAGAAATTTCAAATCCAGTAACAGAAAAAGTACAGGACATTTCTTCAGAATCAAAGCCGTTAGCTTCAAGTAAACTCAAGTCAACACCTATAACAACAACAACGCCAAAAAATAAGCGTTTAGTCGAATTAAAACCTCCTTCAGTAAGTACAACACCTAATGCAAAAACAGTTAAAACAAAAACAGCAGCAACAAACGGTACGTCGAATTCAAAAACTAACAATAAAGATGAGACAGATGAACATCGTCATTCGTCTAATACGAGTTTACTACGTCGTACCTCTGGTCTCAAGGATTTGATTTGTAAATTCGAAAAATCTGAAGATGGTTCAACAAAACCTCCAAAACCAAAACGTGTTACCATCGATATTAATGTGAAAGATTGTGAGCAAAAATTACCTGTTACAGTAAAAAAAGCTGTTAGTTATACTGATTTGCAAAACGGTGGTGAAGGTGAGCGACAAGAAGAACGTCAGCGTGCTCCACCTCTAGCAACTAAAGCAAAAACAATCGATATCCCAGATCTTTTGCGGAATGTTGAAAAAGAGCATACGTTAAAATCAGGAACGGCGATGGCAACGTTAGATAGTAAACTCTCAGCATCAAAAACGTCAGTCAATCGACAACATTCAATAAATTCGAGTAGACAAACATCATTCGACTCAGCTTGTTCGCAGAGTAATGTTAGTGAAGCAGGAGGAACGACTTATGAGCGAAGAAAATGTACATCAACAGCAAGACCCTTAATGTTATCAGTTGTAAGTATATTGAATGATGTTGACTTAAATGGATAGATATTTGAAGTAGTTTTTAGCAGTTTTTGAAAACTACTAAAACATTTTACAGCTGATAAGAGATTGAAAATTCGAAGGAGTTGAAAAGTCATTGACCTGTGTTTTTAAGTGTTCATTGTGACTCCAAATCTGCAGCGAAAAGTGGCGATCACGGATCTATACTGGTGATATGATGGTAACCGTATCATCATTCATCGTCTGTTCTTGTGTTTTTATTATCGCTGCATGGATGGAGCATATGGTCAATCATTTTCTCTTTCTAATAAAGAGATGTGTTTAACTGAATGATTAGCAAGTATGCCTTCTTAATTAACTTTTTCAATTTTAGAACAAAGAAGAATCTTAACAGTACGATGTATTATTCTACGCAAATAATTCTTTGAGGTGTATATTTGACAGTGATAATCAAAATTTTATGCAATGATTGTTTTTTGTTTTGTTTTTTAAGTTTGCTATTTTCAATCATTTTGTACGATTTTTTCAGATTTTTAACGTTTTGTTTTGTCTTATGAAAACAAAAATCGATAAAAATGCTCAAAGATGGTTTCTCTGTGAGTCTCTCTCACTACAAAGAATTGAACTTGAAACAAAGTTACAACTATTACATTTACATCACTGGTATTTCAGAAAGATTCAACAAGTTTTCATAGCTCGATTACTTCAAATAGTTTCCACGAATGAGTGAGAGACAAGCTATAGTGTGATAGAACAATGTCGAGTGTATGAGAGATTTTCGAGATTTGTTTTTGAGTGATTTATAATGCTGTGACTTGTGATATCAGACGTTTGGCTCGCATGCATGAAATTTTATTAGTTTTTAATCTATACCCATAATTTGAGATTTTTGAATGTTAACTTTTGATGAAGATCACTTGAAAGAGAAAGAATATCTCGCCATACTGCTACTCTTAATGGTATAATGCGCTGACAAATATCCATTTCAATAGCCTGATATGTACTCTACAAGTGTCAGTTTCAATAGTGTGAATTCGTCCCCATAGCTGATAAACTGCTGAGATGGCCACCCATATTGTTACTTTCTATTAACTGCAGCTCTAGCCAGAAGGCTAGACTAACACGAAGTTCCTTCTCTCTGTACTACTTGAGCTCTCTATATACACTCACTATCCACGTAACAGCTTCCCGAAAAGCTACAAAGACTAATCGAAAGAATTGTATTGTACTTTATGCAACGTATTAAGTATGCTGTCGCAGGGTGATCGAGTAATTAAAACATAAATAGCGTGTCCAAGGATATTGCACGACTTGATGATGCTGATGTTCAAACACAGTATTTTTGAAGTACGCGATGATCGAACAACATATTCACCAAACCTGTCTACGGAGGTTATTGTAGCAAAGAGATAGACTGAGCCATTTCGTCTCTTTGTTTCTTTTTATTTCCTTTTTTAGTTCGCTTTATCTAAACGATAATCGTTTTGAAAACAACGATAGATAGGCGAAAGAGAAAAAGAAAGAGAAAGATTCAAAAATGATCACTCATTAATCCATCTACATATACCTGTGTCGTGTGGTACAAATTATTCTATTTGCAGCTGTTTTCTGTGTATACCACACACTGTGTAAAATAAATAAATAGTACATTTTTCTCTAATCTTCTGGAGTATACATTTCGTGATTCAGTTCGAATACTCTTGAATTTCTGCATATTTTAACAGCATTACAAAATAGCGAATAATGACATTTAAATCTCCCATAAGAATTTGGACACGTAATCTGTTGTGCAGGACCTTCTTCTTTATCTGCTCATGGTACGATGTCACGTTCGTCGAACGTGTTTAGCTTATATTGATAAATAATAATTTGTTGATACATATCTATAAAAATCATTATTTTCCAGCTGTGGAATACTACTGGATAAATCATCTGACATTTTTCCGTACAGAAGAAAAGACTTTTATTAATGTAAGACAAATGATAAGCGGTTGAACAATGGGAATATCACCTCACTACACACGCACTGCTCCCCATTACAACATATGTCTAAGTATAACGTGCGCGGTTTTGATGAAAAAAATATATTCTTTCTTTTGCGCATATTTCACCAGGGTTGCCAAGTACAAAATCTGCAGGTCGGAAAAAGTCGGAAAAAAATTGTATTGAAAATCGGAAGAAGCATTTTTTTCAGAATACCTTAACAAGGTAAAGATGTCAGGCTTTTTTTTCTGCAACAACAATATATGTTCGTTTTTTCAACAGAAAAAACACATTCAGTAACAGTTAAAAAATCTATTATCTAAAGCATTGACTGTTTCTTTTGACAACGGAAACAGTGCAATCTTGTGATAAATATGAATGAGCATGTTTAACGCCATGAAATACAAATGTTGCTTTAATGGCTGATAATTTACCTAATTCAGTAAATAGTGTAAAAAATGTTTCAAGCGACTCTAGAATTCGTTAAGAAATACAAAACAAGCTTTGAGAAAATAAATCCAAAGGAACTGGACTTACTCTTTGTTTTTTTTTAACAAATTCTTGATGTTTTACAGTGTCATGTTTATCTAGATCGTTTTTGTCCCCACCATAAACCGATATACCACGATTACACGATGAACAACGTGCTTTAGTAGGATCATGGCGAACTTGTTGTAAAAAGTTAGAATATTTACGATCTTTTAATAATCTTTGCTAAAAACACCTTTTTTTGTGCCAGAAACACCGTTAGGTTAACGTTTTCTAGTGATGTTTTGTGTTTTTTTATGTTTATTCTCAACTGAACCTAATGGAAAGTCCTTCTCAGAAATGTCCCCTGCCATCGATGATGCCATGATGCCAAAAAGCATACGATCTTTCAACGAATTCTGAATGAATTCTTTTAAGAATATGTGCTTTTCAGGAAAAAATAAAAAGCTCTACAAATCAGAAAGTCCGAATTCATTCGGAAAAGAAGCTCAAAATCGGAGAAATTCCGATAAATCGGAAGACTTGGCAACCCTATATTTCACATATGGATGTTGTGATTAGTATTAGTAGATATTGAAGACATAGAAGGTGCCTTTCTCTCTGAAACGACATTTCCTTGAAATATCGCTAGGAAGTCGGTAAAATCAGAGATCCTGTGGGATTTCTGATTTTTAAGAAACCACCATGTGTTTTCGCTTTATTTAGTCGTCATGGATAGTGTACACATGTCCTTAAAATTAATGTTTTAAAGCATAAATTTACATTAGCGATGTTGAAGTCAAATTTAGAGTGGTTGAGTCCTACTTTAAGTAGTTAATTGGAAACAAAATGCGCGAAGTGAAATTCAAAGTTTCTTACTCGGAGTAGCTAAGGGACACTAAAATGATTATCATTTTGAAGTGCGTGCACATATTTTAGAGATTTTTTCCCTTGTATTTATAACTCACATTGAATTCTTGCCCTTGATCTAAAATACAGAAGACATTGAATATTCAACAAATAATTGGTTTCTCGAAAGATTCTCTCTTTCGATATATGAGCTGACTGCCTCTTCTTCCAAAATGAGTAAACCATATGTCTTATCAGTATATGTTTTATTGGTTGCTTCCCATTTTGCAAGCAAATGGCTGTTTTCACACCTTTCACATTTTTCGTTTTTGCAAGCAAGCATTTTGTTAAAAATTTTCCCATTCTGTATTATCGGGATTTTTGTCAGCATAATGATTGTAGGAATCAAAAGAAACCGAGCTCATGAAACCCCATTAGTATCAAAACGACAAATGTAACATAAAATGATTTCAAGTAAACAAAACGTTAACATAATGACAAGATTTAATCCACCCACTCAATGATTCATCCATTATTCGCTTAAAACTCAACCAGACTTTGCCAGAACGTTCTTCTAGATGCTCTGTTTCAATATAATTGGTGTAATTTAGCGCAACCGTTCCCGGATCGTACGACAGGTTTCCCAGGAGTTCTTGGTTTTTTCAGAAATCAAAATCCTTTCAGCCCAGGAACAGTTTCGGAAAACAGCAAGGTCAAACTCGAAATCAGCATCAAAAACTGCATCGAACGATGTATAACACAAAACTTATCCAAACAAAAAAAATTTCGAAAAAATTCGGGCAAAGGACCTACTATCTCAGGAGTTTTCGGTCGAAAAAATGGTTTTTAAAAGAACTTTTTTGCTTTAAGTTTATTCTCTGAGATAGACAATCATTTTTAAGCAAAAAGAAGCGTTTCTGGTTAAAAAAGCAGAAGTTCAGTATTTTGAAACAATGTATGTGTAAATTATGGTTGTATAGAGGTTCGCTCAAAATTTGAGCGAACCTCTATATAACCGATATTTGAGGTTCAAATGTTGGTTAATCGATGTTTGAATAGGTTTTCGTATTCGCCTTGATATTATAACTAATTTGTTGGTGATGAGTAGGTATTTTGCGTATGATCGTCATCCAAATGGGTATGTCCAAACGTCACTGTATTCCTATCAGTCGGTAGATGGTGGCAAAGAACGGGAACACTTTGTACTTGTAACATGGAATTGTTAATAGTCGAGTTTGGACTTGGACATTGAGTCAACGTGTCAAAAGAACGCATTTGTCCCATCAATGATGAGAATGTATTATGTTGTTTTTCCACACTAGTTTTAGCAATAATCACCGATGATGTTTTTCTCGAATAGTGTACTTGAACCTTACTTTTATGATGAACTGTTTCCGGTTGTTTGTCACTAAAAGAGACTGATGAACCATACGTGTTCGTAGATTTCTCGCTACTGATTGCATCAGGATTCAGCGTTTGTTGTGGAATAAATAGTGTTAACTCTTGTAGAACTGGTTGTTGTTGAATATGCTCATTAGTATAACTGGGAGTCAGTGATGGATTAATGTAATGAAATGGTGGACACAGAAATGCGACGAATAAAAGTAAGCTGATGATGCATAGTCCTAGAACTAGCGTCGTTACCACAGCATTCTTAGTGTACTTTACTGTCGAATTTTGTAGATTATCGTCGTGGATATTCAGGGTAGTATTAACAATTACGCATGCATAAACTACTAAATATTTCATGTTAATTTTCGGACAACGATAAGGATATTGATGTTCGTAGAGTAAATGTGTCAGATTAACAGAACACGATGATTTAATTGAACAATTGACAAACGGATGTTTTATTTCAATGTACATCGTTGTTTATCGTAATAATAGAATCGAACAAGAATATGATCTACAAAACGTTTATTTACACTAAAATCCGAGCACGATTTACCATCAACCTGCCAATACTGTTTTTGAGTCTTCTGTCATACCAGTTTATTTTCAGAGATCGGTTTATCTCAACAAATGTAGAATATATTCTTAAGTTCAATTAAAGACTAACGAGGGAACCTCTCGAGGTGATTAAAAGCTTTTCGACTCAGACTATTTTCATCATGTAAGGAATAGTCAGCAGTGAAAAACTGCAAGTTGGTTTGGGCCCATGCACCTTTTTGACGGAGATATGAGTTAATTAATGAAAATGCCATTAATAATAATTAATTAATATCTCACGACCATGATCAGCTAGGAGTCGGAAATTTACACCACAGTTGAAGATAGATGTTGTCTACTCACTGTGACACTTACAGGCTTATAAACCAAAGCTTTTGCAAGATATGAATTTTTTATGATTTAGACAGTTTTTAGTGAAAATTCACCATTGAAAACCTAAAAACTTGTTATCACTTTTTAGATACCTCTATCGACTCAGTAAAGACTTATTTCATTTAGAGACATATTTCATTCAAAGTCTGAGTCGAAAAGCTTTAATCACCTCGAGAGGTTCTCTCGTAAGTTTACTTCCTCACCGAAACATTTTTATTTTGTACCGAAGGAGACTAAAAAGCGAAATAATCATCGAGTAGTCCTCAGTGCGATCTTTTAGTCACTGAACTTACTCCTAATATCATAGCCATAGTTTATCTTTTTTCCGTTGTTAAACTGATATGCGTATGATGAAAGTGTAAACATTATCCTCCCATTGCTTTTTCCTATTATATAGGAAAAAATAGGTATTATATACGAAATTTTGTTTCTATGTTCAAAACCAGCAGTAATGATACATTAAACTAGAATTTAGACACGTTAATGTGAGTCCTTAATATACACCTATGTAGATACACATATGACATAAATAAACTGCTTCTGAAATTTTTATATACCTTCATATCAAATAGATCTAAAAAAGAGAACCGTCTATTTAGTATAGAAAATCTCGAACAGTATTTCATGCGTAAAAAATATTTCGAGTATTTTGTGTTGTATCAAGGATGGATACTCAAGGATCAAGGACTCAAAATATCCTTTTGTTTCTGTAGTTCGTGAATTACGTCATTCAACAATTGGTTTTCAAGTTCTTGTTGAATATAATTACAATCCTGTCATTGTTGGTGAAAAAATCGAACTGCGTTCTCCGATACCCACAAATGCATGTCGAGTTCGGTTGGCATACATGAAAGGTAAAGCAAAATATAAATCATCGGAGAAGGCTATCCTATGGAAACTGAAACTTATGATAGATATGAAAGAGTATCAATTAGGTTCTACAATTGAACTACAAGTTCCATTTGCGCCAAGTGGTTTTAAAGTAAGATATTTAAAAGTATTTGGAAATAAATTAAACTATGACGACACACAAACTGTTATATTAAAATCTTTCTCAGTGGGATGTTAATCCTGCTTTTTTATGAGACGTATTCATCTATCATGTTAAATCGAAATTTTAGGTTTTGTTCGTGAAGTTATTTTACCTCCAAGAAGAAACTTATCAAAAATGTTTTATTTTATTTTATATGAGCTAATGCAAGGAGCTCTGAAGCGTTCGCCTTGAAACTCAACTAAAATTACAATTTAATTGATGATCTGTTACTTAACATTTCATTTTTTGACATTATGTAAAATTTATCTATTTGTCAAATGATATGTTGTATGTAATATTCTCAACAATAGAGAATGGGTGAATCAATTTACGATCACAAAATCTATGCACATCTTTTTATAGCTAAAACGATACCGAGGAAATATGTTGCCATTAAGGATGTGCGGTAACGAGTAAATTCATTTACCGGTACCGTGGTAACGGTACAAAAACTTTACCGCCATCGCGGTAAGTTTCGTGCAGTAGAAAATCTTTTAGCGGAAATCCTGTCGCGATAAAAATGAGAAATATCTCAGGACTTTTTAAAGTCTTTTTTAAATAGTCATTGTAGGGCTGCACCGACATGCCGCCTTTTTCTGTACTTTTTCCTTGTAATATGGAAACTAAGGATGTGCGGTAACGGGTAATTTACCGTCGGTAACGATAAAAGCCTTTTTTAAAAACAAGTAAATTTTTCCTGTGAATGGGCCCAGTTGGACTTGAAAAGTATAATTCGAGATTATACATAGTTTTTTGTACTTTCTGTTTGTTTGTGTCACTCTTTTACTGTATTTAGGAATAGTGTGTACAGATATTTTCTTCCTTTGTTAACCATCTTTACTATTTATTTCCTTGCTGAAAATTAATTGAGTTAACGGTTTTTCGAGATGACGGAATTTGAATTTCTTTGTGTTTTCATAAGAACTCAATATCTGAGGAACGAAATTTTTAAAAGTAAAGATTTTAGATCTGCCGTTTTCGCCAAAATTCATCCAAATATGTTTCCTACTTTAGACGAACTCTGAGATGACCGGTTGAGCAGTATCATACCGTACAGTGGGCGTATATATTATGACATTAAGAAAAAAACTGAAAGTGCATTTTTTCTAGATTCAAATATAACATAGTATACTTCAGAATACACAATATCAAACGGTGTATCAAAAAACTTTGTTCCAAGTGTACTGGATCAAGGGGAAACCTGTGGCCGGCAATTAGCCTGAACACGCAATGACAAAAAGGAAAACATTTCCTCAGATAAATTTAATAAACTTAAAAGTAACCATTATATAGATTCTGAATCTAAATCTTCTCTTTCATCAGTTGGCGAAGACGATTTTCAGTTTGGTGTTCAAACAGTAGAGAAATTCTTGGTCACTATCTTAGTTTCCAA